AAAGAAGGCTATTGTGGAGTTGCCCAAGCGAACAACAAACGCAAGGAAGCAAGAGGGGAAGAAAGCATCGGGCGTGACTATCTTTCACTTGATGGGCTATGTAAAAGTATCTAGCGCCACACTAGCGCAAATCTAGCGCTAAGCTGCAGGAAAACGATTTCACTGCATATATACAGGGCTCCGCCTTCTAATGAAATTTGAAATACATCACTGCCCAATATTTACGGCCTTCGATTTTAAAAGTTCCTTATAATTAATCTTATTGGCATTTTAGAGCGGACCCCATATATAATTAAATGTATGGTACCATTTTTGTACTGTGATCACCAGGTTGGCCGTCGTCTGGCTATATTTTCTCTCACGAAAGCTTCTGCCAATGGGTTTTTCTCAGAGAAAAATTGCTAAATTCATTTACATAACATCACCTACATCAACTTGTCCTACTTCCTTCACATCAGAGCAGCCTTTACACACAGAGAAGCTTTTTCACATCAGCGATTTACACAGAGAAGCTTTTACGCACAGAAGCTTTTACACCGAGAAGCCTTTACACAGACAAGTTTTTACACACAGAAGCTTTTACACACAGAAGCTTTTACACACAGAAGCTTTTACGCAGAAAAGTCTTTACGCAGAAGAGCGCTTACACACAGAGGCGTTTACACAGAGACAAATGTACGCTCAGAAGCCTGTACACACAGATAAAATTACGCACAGACTGAGAATACCTCAATGGTAGTTTTGAGCTTGTGATACATACACTCAATGCCAACTGACATGGAATCCACATGTTGCAGCTTATCATGAATAGAATCAATCATCAACATCATTCATGAGCACGCATCTTTCATCACCGTTGATCATCATCCAGCACCGTCCAGCATATCTTCTCACCATCAATCATTCCGCATCAAAAACCTTTTCATCATTCATAATCAAATATCATCAATCAACATCCATCATCTTTCTATCTTCCACTTCCATTGTCTTTGTTGACTACTCCCTCCTGCTCTTCTTTTGGGCCACACCGTCGTCTAGTTTCTTCCTAAGTAGCCGGCCAACATTTTAAAAAAAAACTTATTGCCATTCTTGTTGCCATGTGCTTCTGCGGCGACCGTACTTTCAATGAAGGAGAGGAAACCTAACTTTCAATCGAAACACGTCAGGCCTGCGCCGCGTGGCCCCCCACTGCAGTCTCCTTCCTGTCTTGGAGATCTCTCGGCTGACACACCCATTGTCGAGTTTCCCAACCACACTCCAGCGTGTGCCATTGCCAGCGTGGCAGTCAACGCAATTGAAGCAGCGGCCGAAGAGCCTGTAGCGACCAAGTGACCTCGCTTTAGGCATTGACAGATCACCGGTGGAAGACTTGAACTGCTTCTTCACGGCAGTGCGCAACCACATATTCGGCGACAGTTCGTGGTCATCATCACCTCCTGCGAGGCCTAGGTCGTTGACAGAGAATGTGGCCCGGCCATATGCACGCCACTGAAGAGGCATCTCGGGCACAACTGGCTACAATGCATAGCAGACGCCGACTTGCGGCAATGCAATGTTAGTTTCTTTTCGCAAAGTTTTGAAGTTATTCACGGGATTTTAATGTGGTACTTATGGGAAAACAAGTCATTACCACACAAGTTCATCAAGATAAGGAAAGGGATGAATTCATTGCCACGTTGGTTCATCTAGCCTTGGATCTATAGTGAATTTTCATCATGAAAAACATCAAGACATTCAGACCCGTAACAAATTGCGATCCGTAGCGTGCAAATGGTTCATAGGAGGAGTCTCCCACAAACAATGGCAATCAACTTGCGTCATACCATCCAACCAGAAAAAATACAGATGGTCTGATATGCAAAGCACGCCGCATGAGAATTAGATCATACATGTAGTGCCGAAAAGGAAAGCAAGAAAAAGAATACAAGAAGCAGAGCAAGCAGATTTCGTTTCAAGCTGAAAAAAGGAGCGAGCCAGTGTATCGGATGCCCTAACATAGAGCTGGCGGCTGTGCCCACTGGAGCGGCAACTCTACTTGGAGCGAATAAATGGAGCCAGCGGCTTACTTTGAACCTAGAAAATAAGCCCGCGGCTCGATACACTAAGCGCAGATCCCGTTGGAGACCCGCAGAGCCCATTTTGCAGGATCCAAGCCGTTACAGCTAGGAACTCAAGTTGCAAAACCGCCCCGGGGAACAGCCCAGCCCAGGATCGAACCTCTGATTTCGAGGTTAAAGGCCTCACGGTCTGCTGACTAAGCGAAATAACCTTTGAATCATGTGCGGTGCCTGTTCAGATGGAGACTCAAATGTCTTTGCCCACCACGGAACACTAGCCGAAAAGGAAAGCAAGAAAAAAATACAAGAAGCAGAGCAAGCAGATTTCGTTTCAAGCTGAAAAATGGAGCTAGCCAGTGTATCGGATGCCCTAACATAGAGCTGGCGGCTGTGCCCACTGGAGCGGCAACTCTACTTGGAGCGAATAAATGGAGCCAGCGGCTTACTTTGAACCTAGAAAATAAGCCCGCGGCTCGATACACTAAGCGCAGATCCCGTTGGAGACCCGCAGAGCCCATTTTGCAGGATCCAAGCCGTTACAGCTTGAAAGAGGTACCCAGAGGCCCAGAGGTGTGAAGCGGTCCAGTTCGAGGCTGCCGGAAGCCTTTTTGAAGGATACGGGCCGCAGACGGTCCAAAAAGGAGCCTGGAGGCGTGAGTAGGAAAACCCGATCCAGTTCGAGGCTGAAGCCTTTTTGAAGGATACGGGCCGCAGACGGTCCAAAAAGGAGATTGTTGGCCTTCTTGTTTTTTTAGTCGTGCGCCTGGAAACCTAGCAATTAGTCGTGGGATGTTTGACTCACTCGTGGGATGTTGAATTTAGTCGTGGGATGCCCTCTGTCTCGATCATATCCAAGTTGGTTTGCTTGATTTTTTTCGAGTGAGTGCCAATGCTTTCAGCACATTCTGCAGACCAGGCTTGAAACTAATAAAGCGTGCATACAAAGCATCTACATGTGCTGTTGCAGGTGCTCTCTGCAAGTGCAAGAGAAGAACTGCTAGCGTGTGCAATTGCAAGAGAAGATCTGCTAGCGTAACATCCCGCATGTGTGCAATTGCAAGAGAAGATCTCCTAGTGCAACATCCCGTATGTGTGCACGTGCAAGAGGAGGTCTCTTAGCGTAACATCCCGCATGTGTGCAAGTGCAAGAGAAGAACTGCTAGCAGAACATCCCGCATGTGTGCAAGAACGCAAAGGCGAAGAACGTTAATACACCCCCCCACCCCCACCCCCCTTACAAAACACTGCGGGCAATGGTAAAACATCCTGACTTGGGGTTCCGCAATTGTGAAAACGCGCGTTTTCACCAGTCCGGAGCCACCAACAGGGGTTTTGAACACTGCTCACTTGTCTGCTTTTTGCTATATACCACCTGCGAACGAATCGCGGGTGTTCCCAGCGCTGAGAAAGAAGTGTTTTATTGTTTGCAGGGTATAGGCTTGCATACCAGAAGTGTGTGGGATCTCTGCTGATGCTTGGGTGATATACGAGAGTAGATGCGAGCACATCTCAAACACCTGGTGTATATGGTCATTCAAGTCATTCTTTCCGATCTTCATTCGACCTCCAACATTTCTTTTTCTGAGAAACGGGCACAATCATTTTCTATCAACGGAATCAACGGTATGGTCATCATTCCAAAAAAACAATACTTGGTGAGGTCTCCAAAATATATCTGTGGTTTTCGGTGTTATTCGGTGTTCATGTCGTGTTTTCTCCCACGGTTGTGGCCCTTCCCAGGATTTGTCATGGCCCACCTGGGACGCAATCAGCACTGCCGTCATGGCCGGAAGCCACAGCCGGCGCTGCCTCAGCCATCAACCTAGCCTATAGACCCTCCAAATACCTTGAAAATACCTTGAAAAATGTTGTACCCTCTGGTTATTTAACATAGCCATGGTATACATGGCCCATAGAAATAGATGGTTTACCTATTAAACATGGTGATTTCCATGGCTATGTTAAATAACCAGATGGTAATATTATCGTAATACAATGTATGGTACCCATTCAAATATCCTGTGTTAATTCAAACAGGTCGGGAACAAGAGATGTGAAGTCTATATGAATTTATTGCAATACTGGATCCGTCACAACAGTACAGCTACATATTTCTACCACTATGAACATAACAACTGTGGACTGTGAATGTTCATCCTCCAAGAGAAAAACATAAACATAGCTTTCAAGTACACATCCCCTTAGACTCTCCGAGCACGAGCATGGTTAAAAAGTTGAAAGTGCAGAAAAGAACTTGGATAACCATGGATAATATATATATACATACTATAGTTTACCATACATATTACATCATATTACATCAAATGACTGGTTGTTTGTAGGATTTTGTAGGTGATTGAAGGGTCTAAGTCGACATGCCAGGTATGAACCTAAGCCTGCGGCCCATGTCTGGAGCGCAACATGGCGGCAACTATTTCAGGTTCACCAGCTTGCGATGGAAAAGAATTGTGGGTGGTGCTGGAGTCATGTTTTCTTTAATGCCAAGTTCCAGCCAGCGTGGAACATATTGACATAATTTGACATATTGCAACACATGAGGACCTGCAAGTTGAAATGACACACGAGTAGTAGCTGCTCTAAAACTAGGAGGACTTTTCTGGTTGGTCAAAACTGATCTTTTCTCATTGCTACATAGTTGGTATGATGCTGTAGCCTGAGGTGATCGTTTCTGCTGTGATATCACTCAACGGGGTAGACAAGCACTTGCCTTTTTTTCGCTGAAGCAAGATCTGCGATACATGACACAAACAAATTGTCACACCGATCCGGAAAACAATAATTCTGAACACATTTTCTGGGGGCACCAAGAATCTTTTGGGGGACGTATTTGATGCGGATATTGCACCACAATTGACATGTGGGGATCTCATTTACCACAGGCCTTTCCAAAACGGCACACCCACAGATCCCCACCCGTTAAGCCTCCCATGAGGCTTGCTTGTGCACCTGAGGCAATGACTTCAGACATTGGGGCTGTAGGCAGGGGCTGTTTCCAGCCTAGGTTTTGCGTGTTTCATCTAACATTGGGGATGGGTCACAGCCCCATCAAGGGATCTCCATACCCTAAAAATGGTATTCAGAAAATTTATGAAAACTTATATAATACATAGCCATTTCGCCCCTCTTTTTCCTCTATGAAAAACTGTCCCGTTTAAATATGCGGACGCCACCAGGCCTTGCTGAGGATGCCCCATGACATCTGCACCAAGCCCAACCTGCAGGGGCATCTTGGCGGGTCTGCACAATTTCTGCAGTTCTTGGAAGTGGTTGATGTGTGATGATCGATTTTCTCTAGTGAGCCACAACATGTCGAAAATCTCGAAAACTGATGTGTCATGATTCATTACCCGAACATATCATGCTAGAGAGATATTTTTTTTTGCATTATACACTATGAAGATGGCTGGAATAATGAAAACTAAATATCAAGGGGATGGACGCGTATATGCATATTACATAAATTTACATAATGGATACTGGATACCAATTGAATGCTGTTTTTTCCTTCTTAGTTTCCACTGACGTAACAAACCTCTTCCGCCAACGCTTCCACAAACCTTGCGCGGATGAAAACGTATCTTCCGCGATCTCATGTCTTCATATATCGCTTCCATCGCTTCCACGAGCTTCCACGTTGGTAGGTTTGGGTGATGTGCTTCCGCGACCTAGGTGTAGAGGATGTTTTTTTTATCTTATGGGAGAATTATTGTGCTTTTTTGTAGCTTCCACGAAACTTCCACGAAACTTTCCTTCCGCGGTGCTTCCACACCCTTCCGCGCGTGCAGCCACACGCACATACTCACCCTGTTATGACTCGACAAATACTACCGAAGACAAGTGACTAAAGATTAAAAAAAACGGCTGATCGATTTTGTCTAGTGAGCCACGACATGTCGAAAATGGTCGAAAATTAATGTGTAATGATTTATTACCCAAACATATCATGCTAGAGAGGTGTTTTTTTTGCATTGTAGAGTATGAAGATGGTTGGAATAATGAAGATAAAATATCAAGGGGATGGATGCGTATATACTAATTACATAGTGGATACCAATTGTTGTTTGATAGTAGTAATTAAACAATCCTAATATTTTGTTGGGTCAATTGGGGCCGAAGGCCATCAAAACTCCAGGTCTCGACTCCAGGTTCGCCCATTCCGATTCGGCCTGGGCCATCTGAGTACAGAATATGTCACCTTACCTGGTAGATCCTGGTAGATTCCAGTGGGCCAGTGGGCAAGAAAATAGGATATTTATATATATATATATATTATTGATATTAGGATGATATTAGGATATATATATATATCCTATATGATTATTGCAATCCTTATTGACTTTTGATGATATTAGGTTTGTTTATGTAAATTCTTGTAGAATCATCAAAAGTCCATTCTTAACATCACAACATCAGCTTTGGAACAGCCTAGCCTACCCGCAGGTCCGGGCTGGAACATCCCCCATCGGATGGCCCAAATCTCCCACCTCCTTCGAAGCACCTGCCAAGGGGGTGATGGTCTCGAAGAAACCAGGTTGATCATCAAAAAAGATCCCGGAAAACATCACTTCCTAAGTCCAGGGACATCTCTCAGTCTAAGATATTCAAGTAATATCTCTCATTATTCAAAATACACGCAGGATCTACAAACCACATGAGGCTCAAATCTAAAAATGATAGAGGCAAAGCTACATTATTTAATCAACTGCAAACGAACCATTACGTGGCTTGTATAACGTCTCAAGCACAATTTCTCGCTATCAACTTTGCGCAAATATTAGCGCATACTGTAAGATACTCCAAAATGGACCAAAGCCCCGAAATGCCCCGAAACATGTACGCAAAGGTACGGAGATGAGTCAGGCCTTTCTACGTGAGCCTTGAGTCCGCACCAAGGATGGGAACCATTGGAATAAGTTGAATAAGTCATGTAAGATAGCAACAGGACAAACACAACTGTGATTTGTCTGTTCACATGTATAGATACATATTTGATTAATTGTAATTACATGCACCTACTTATATAATATGCAAAACTATGTTATATATATATACGTATGTATATATATGTATATGTATATATATGTATATGTATATATATATATTTGTATATATATATATATATATATTTGTAAATACATGTATATATATATATATGTAAAACATATTTAATATATATATATATATACTTATACATACATATCCACATGCATCATATATCATCAGATCTCCTTTTGAGCCGGACGATCTAAGCACCTGCAAGGCCTCGGATCGTAAGTCACAGAAATCTTGGCCGCAAACACCTGGCACATCTGAAAGTGGCTATGAAACCAACCATAACTATGTTTTTCAGGGTACAGAATAATTATGGAATGAATGGAATGTGTATATATAATATAATGAATATATTAATATATAATATATATATAATTATACATATAATATATAATTATATAATTATACATATAATGTAATCAACATTAATCGACTCAGTGTTTTAAACTGACTGTGCGTGTATGAAAATGGGGGGATTACCAACAAATTTCGTGGCAAGGCTGACTGTTTCTTTATCGGGCATGATGATCAACCATGCGCGTGGTTCTAAGATGTGGATACACGGTACATATTATATATATATTAAAATATAATATAATATATACTAGACAATATATATATATATATATATGTACTGTTTCTATTATAGGAATGATATTGGATCATACTGGACCTCTTTTGGTTGATACATGATATCCATTTATCTATTTGGATTTAATTGGAACTATACGGCTGCATAGGAGTCTGGTACGCGGTCAAACGCAATGGCCATAGTCCAGTATCTTTTTGTGGTCTATGAACCTGTGACGCCAATGCAAGTATAGACATCATAAAGTAACTGGCGCTGACCAACGGTTTATTAAGCCGATGACAATATCAGAGTGTCTCCATGCAGTGATGAATAGTGAAAGAGAGAGAGAGTGTGTGTACCAATCATGTCCTCTTGGGAAATGTAGAACAAAAACACCAGTTTTGATATAATGATTTATTAATGATTAATGATAACTTGTGATTAATAACCCCCTCATGTGTCAGTTGATTAATCCCTAGGGATTTTATAATCACAACTACAAATTACCGTTCACATCCATCTACCCAGTATGGTTGTTGGGATATTTTTCGATCTCCTTGAAACCGCTCCATCCCTTGCAACGGCAAACACGCCAAGGCGTGGTGCTTTTCAAGAACCACAGCGTGGGCCCAGTCATGTTTGTTGGTTCATAAACCCTATTAACATTAAGTATACAAATGTATACAATAACATACAATAACTATATCCACCATAAACCATTGTTGGAGTTGTACCAACTTCAGTTCCTGAATTCAATCCATTCCCAATTGAAATCGCCCTTTTTGCAGACATCAGGGCATCCGGGCAGTACAAGAACATGATGGCCCGAGCCACAGCCACTGCGGTCCGCCAGGGAAGTTCCTTGACCGCCAAGGTCCGCAGTGTGGCTTTTCCCTAGGAAATTCATCTACAAACGTAGGATTTTCCATGATGTTCATCCAGTGGAGGGTATCAACCATTTTTTCCATAGCTGAAACATCTGTGTCACAGTCATCTATGGGGATCATCCCAAGTTTCCTCCATGTTTTTTCGGTCACAAGAAAACACATACCACAGCATACCAAAACAGACGCTTTCCAAGCCTGCAGAAACTTGGGATTGTCTGAAAATAAGCCACCCCACATTTTGATGTTTTTTAAACATCATTTTCCAAACATAAACATTGCATAAGATTGCCATATGTTTAGGATTTACTATGTAACCGTTTTCAAACTGAAATTATCTTGAGTTGGGAAACAAAAATAAAACCCGCTATATAAATCCATCCAAAGTTGCTTATGTGAATATACAATATATATATATGCGTGTGAGTAGCTGAAGCCCTTAAGAGCCGGTTGCCCCGGTGCGTGCCTCCATGCCTGGTAGCTTTCTTGGTAGCTATCCAGCTTGGGGTGTGTGTGGGCAGAACTTGGGGAAACACAGGTTATGAGCCCAAATGTGGCCATTGCGCGGCTTTGATGCCCGCTGGGAATGCTTCTTGCAGGTGTGGTGAAGCTGGGAGATCTGCGGTGTGCAGGGCCTGTTCGACAAAGAAGTTGGAGGGCGAGCCTTTGCCTCAAAAAGCGGGGGACGCGAGGCGTCTCAGAAAGCGGGGGGCCGATGCAGTTCATCAGCGAGAAGTTTGGCTTTTGAAGTTTGGCGAGGCGCCTAACAGTTGGTGCGGTGGCTCAAGCCCAACGGCCTCTGCCAGGTTGCATACACTACACTCTGCATGCCTGAGCTGCAGAGTGGGGGGAGTGCGTGTGAGTAGCTGAAGCCCTTAAGAGCCGGTTGCCCCGGTGCGTGCCTCCATGCCTGGTAGCTTTCTTGGTAGCTATCCAGCTTGGGGTGTGTGTGGGCAGAACTTGGGGAAACACACACATATATATATATACAGTACCCATTATAATCACAATATTGTTGGGTACTGTGGCAATTCGGCTATATAACCCCTCCCCAGAAACGCAGAAACGCCCTCCTCTGCCGACGGTGGCAGGGCCAGCAGGGGCTGCCTGGCGATATGACACCATGTGGAAATCATGAGGATATGTATATTTAATATACCCATTGCCCTCCCCCAAATTAACGTAGACCCTGCCAAACAGGGGCTTGGAACATTAGTTGCCACTAGAAATTGGCTAGTGTCAGGGTCTATGTTAATTTGGGATAGGGTAAATATAATATCTACATGTCTGCAATATAATGACTATAATGGTTGGTTAACATACCTGTCTATATATGTATAATATCTACATGTATAAAAGTATCACTCTGTAGTATCCTGATGATTAACATACCCAATTATATAAATATTAATCATAGGATATTCTAGAGGGATATAAGTTTAATGTATGATAACTGTGTCTCAAATGGGGTGTGCTCCCAAAATTGCCAAGAAATTGATGATTAACCATGATAAACCCATGTAATGAGGTGTAACCTATTTTCAAACAACCTCAAGTGGCTTTCCTCATGGCAGTTGAAGGGACAACTATGTGGCCAACTGAGTTTCAACCTGGGGATGTAACCCCATTGTTACTAATCCGAAACAATGGGTATCTGATTTCTAGGTACGAGCGACCTGCTAGAATTAACAGAATGCAGGCTGCAACTGACACGTTTGTAAGAAATTCATCCAATGTGGACACCCTCAGCAATATATGCTCACTCAGGCCATCCAAGATGTACCGTGAATATCAGAATAACCAACAATACCCATAGGATCCATGTATGCTATATATGGTGACATTTACCATCAATATACCCCAAATGTTAGCATATATACCATACATGGATTGTTTCCACATGATTTTAAAGGTGGCCCCCCCCAGTTGGTTTAGTTGGTTTATACACCCCATTGCCTCGCCTCCTGGACAGATAGGCACGAGAAATGGCACACATGGAACCTGGGATTGACGAACGGTGGTTTTATTAATGGGTAATTTGCATGGGATATTATGATATGTTGGTTTAATGGGTGTTTACATGGAATGTTGTATGTATGAATTATGATATGCTATGGGATATAACTGATAGAACCAACTTAAGAAGAGAATTGGGGTTGAAAATGGAGGTATGTGCACCCATTTTACAGCCATCTGATGGGATATAGAATTATTCACCAGGGCAGTTGGGGTACCCCATCTTCAGTTAAACCCATACTATCAACCACAAATTAAAAAACATAAGCTATATAATGGATAATGTCTGCAGGATTATACCATATATATATATAGCCCATACTATCTATAGGTTTATACTATGCAGCATAGATGATTTATACTACTAATGAAGCAAGCAGTTGTATGCATTTGTAATATATGTCATCCCTTTATGCTATCATCCCGTCTGTGATCCTTTTTAGACGATGCACGTGTGGTTGTGAAATGTTTCGAAATCAGAGAGCCCTATTGATCCACTATCACTTGCATTGTGATAGTGTATGTATGCATTGGTTGGGGATTATTTTCTGCTTGCCAGAGACATTCACGTGACATTATATTGTTGAACACCTTTGTTTTGCAAAAGGACATCCAGTGTATCAAGACAATATATGACAGTATAATACAATATGTATATATATATATGTAATATATGTATAAATATACATGTAATTATAAAAGGAAATGCAATATATACCTTGACACTCAGTTGACCCAGAGAAATAGATGCTTACCTCATAGTTCGGAACTTGGAACTGACAATGGACAAGCCATATATCGTACGTTTTTGAAAAGTGGTGGTACCCATGGTATCCAAAATGTTTCATGAAGTAGACAAATGATTCAAAAAATTAAAAAACATATATGGGGGTCCGAAGTTCTGCAAGTTTGACCACCCAACTGCTCTCTTGGCTTCCATTTTTTTGTCCACCTCGTTCATTGCTTCTTTGCGTCTATGCGCTTGTTTTACAAGGCCAGTCGCCAACGAGGAACGACAAGCTATGCCTGCCATGCGCCTTGAAACCGGTCAGATAGAAAGTGACGTGATTTTGGAACAGGATTGATTTGCAGGACAACTACATGTTGATCGAACATTTTAATGTGTTTTCCTTCTGCCAACGCAAAGAGTCATCTCCGTACTCTACATCTTTCGTGGTTCGGCCATGTTTGTGTTTTACTTTGACCATTTTTGGAGGTTTCGTAAATTGGGGTACCCCCAAATCATGTAAAACTCGACCAAACGTTCGTCTAAAAGTGGGGATCCCCTTTTTCACTAAGGGAAGCTCCATCTGTTGCATCTGAATTCCTCAGGTCTTTCCTTTGGCCAGACCTCCAAACCTCGGTGATACGGTGGAGAAATCCACCAGTTGATGGGCAAAATCCCATTTTTTATAGGGTTTTAACATGTTTTAACCATCCAAGGATCCCAGGAATTTAAGGTAGAGGATTTTTTCCACAGTATGGATAAGAAATATATAGAAATAGGGGAATCTACTTGGAATTTCACTATCAAACCAATGGGGATATATCAACCATCATAGAATCATAGGGATATGGTTGATATAATAGGGCTTTGACGGGAATATACCTCGGGTGTCAAACGTGGCTAGCCAGGAAATCTCCGAAAATCATGGCAGCAAGCCACGGTTGATTACTGGAGGCTATTGCCAATGGGGGGGAGGGCTGTTCACCAGGAAATGAAGATCTGCTTGGTGGAGGCACTAAACCCATTCGAATATGGAGAAGTCTGGATCATCCCATTTCGAAGGCTAGCGAAACAAATTTGAAAGCACCAATCCGTCTACTTGTCACAGGGATTCCTTTCACTTCTGGAGATCCCCAGTCGTCACCATGGTTGTTTCAATACTAAAATGATGAAAATCAGTACCCCCATGACCCGAAAAACCGATAAATCACAGTCATTTGGATTGAGGGAATAGCTCTTCACCTTGAAGGAATAACAGGCTGAGGACTTGACAGTCTTGCCCAGTTAACCCCCATGAAATATCCAGGTTTCCTAATTTATGAGGCTACCCCCAAATCAACCAAACTATGACTTAGTATTGAAACAATGGTGACTTGGGGATCCATCATTTAAAGAACCCCCCACGTGCAAAAAAAACACTATTACTTTTAATCACTCTTAAACATCAATGAATTGTCATCAACACCCCTTCAATCCCCATTAAGGTGCCCAAAAGCCTAACATGAAAGACTGCGGATTATTTTTGGGATTATCATGGGATTCACGTAAAACAATGTCATACTTTTACCACCTATTAGTGTTAATCCATTCCCGACATAAAAATGGTGAAACATCCCTGGTGAAACCGACATGGCATGATTCGTTTTACTGGGGATTGTATTTTTTTTTGGTGTTTTACCATCTGGTTATGTAACATAGCCATGGAAAATCACCGTGTTTAATAAAGTTTAATAGGTATTTAATAGGTAAGCCAACTATTTCTATGGGCCATCGAAAAACCATGGCTATGTTGAATAAACAAAGGGTACCATGTTTACCAACAAATCAACTGCCAAGTGCCTCACCTGGATTCACTGGGCTCAGGTGGCATCCGGCCAAAGCTGAAGCCCACGGCCGGGCAGTGCTGCCTGGACTCCGCTTGGTTTGTCGTTTTTGGGGTTGATGGGGCGCCGCTTCATGTACCCAAAAATATGGAAAACCTGTGGAAAACATCATGATTTAAGCCGGAAACCTGATCAGACATCCGGGTTTAACAGATTTATTGAACTGATTTCATATACCAAACATAGGGAAAAATGATGATTTAAACCACAATAAAAGAGGATTTAGCTGATGCAAGCCAAGAATAAAAGTGGATTGAAACCACAATCTTAACAATCCGTGGATTAGTTCTCCATGGGCAATCTACAGAAAAATGTGGTTTTGTTACCCCCAAATTGACTGGGCTTTCCTCCAGATTTTGACCTAGAACCAATTCTAGGAACCCACGGACCACGGACCCATACTTGTTGTTTTTAGTATATTTAAGCATCCGTTTTTGATTTTATTCTCAGAGTGGTCCAAAACTCCAGAATCCTGCTCTAAAAACATCAAACAACTGTTGGTTTTGGATCTTCATGCCCTTAAAATCAAGTGTAAAATCAATTACAATCATAGGTAACCTGGGTCCCATGGGTCCATGGGTCTCATCCCCAGATTGGGCCCCAGGGCCCCATCCCGATGAGTGGCAAAAGATTAACGCATATGAGCCCGGTCGGAAAAACCATGCACCAACAGTTTATTAGATTGATGCGGGCCACCGATTCTACATTCTACATCGTTTTACGTCAACTTCAGTGCAATGTGGTACATCTCTGATTAATCCCAGATTCAGGTGTTCAATCATGATGCTACAAAGTCTTTCGTGACACACTGTATTTATCCGACCTATTGACATGGTATTAAACACTACCACAATCTACCACATATCAAAGCATGAACACACAATTCATCCCAAACATGGATTGTGAAAACCCCTATGGCCCCTACAAATGATGCTCAAATCATCTTAATGTTGGTAAAGCAATAGATAGCAATAGTAAACCATCCCCAAAATCACAAGTTTTCTGGTATAAACCATCAACATATGGATGGTTTATGATATTACTCATCTAAAAACTCATGAAATATCACACAATGTCCAATCTACATGGTCATATCATGCCGTTTTTTAGGATAATCTATGTGAAACCGGGGGAAATCCCTCTCCACCCGGAAGATCATAGGATCCAAGGCGCCAATGTGGATCCCAGAGGTCAGGTTTGGTGTAATGCCCAGGCCCCGGCGCACCGGTGATCTTCGCCTGCGATAAGCCTGCGATGGCCCGTGAAAAGGTGAAACATTGCCCGTGAAAAATCATGACTGTTGGATATCCTTGGTACTTTTATGTACTTTCCACGGCCGTCGTGTTCTTGGCTGCACATTGGTACTACATATGGCTGATCTGCTCATCTTTCTTGGGGTGATTTAAAGTTCTTGTGGTCCGTTCGAGCACCCTGGCCCATGCAAAACCAGGGCGGACCCGCCTATGCCCTTGGCGACGGTAAAACTCACAATGGGCGGGGACTTGTAAGAAGTCAACCTCAAGACTTTGGATCTAAATTGGGTCCTCTTGCCCAGCCAATCCCTAATCGAACGTTTAACTTCCGTGCAACCTCCTGTAAAGGAGGCGGCTTTTGCATGAGAAGGGAACTACAACAGCCCACTCTGTCGTGCTAATTTGACAAGAACCATGCAGTAGCTCTGCTTTGTTTTCAGCCCCATCTGAAATTGAGCTCAGCTCGGCATTTTTCACCAACAAACCTCGCCAATCCCCACTGAATCCCAGCACTGCAGTCGGGCTTCTGTTGTTGAGCTGGATGTGAGAGACCACCATCCTGGTTTCGATCATCCGCGTGGACATACCCTCTGGTAAACGTACAAAAAGCTATCGAACATTGCCATTTATAGTGGATTTACCCATTGAAAATGGTGATTTTCCATAGTTATGTTAGTTTACCAGATGGTAAATGGCTTGAAAATCAATGAACATAACTTACTGGTGCTTAGTAGGGAATGGACGGGAATAGGGCTTGCTGGGATGATTATTACTAGTAATGGATCATTCCCGAAAATTCCCTGCTAAGCACCAGTAAGATAAGGCCGGTGATGGCTACAACATGCCACAACATGCCACAACCAATGAGTGGGGCCTAATGAACACCACCCATCCCTCAGTACGATCAGAAATCCAGTGTCCAGCATCAGGCACACCACGTCATAATGATCTTCCAACCAAGATGGGGTCAACAATTGCTACCGCTGGACCCATAGAATTTACTAATTATTATCATGGCCAATCTTAGATACCCTGCAAAAAAGCAACAATTCTTAGCTGGTGAACGTAGATAATCCCATACCAAAGGACTATTCAGGATTAGTTTCTACCCCAGTTGATTGA